CCACTGCAGGGGCGACAGATTGGCTGGGGCGTGGGCCTATTAATTACATGGCGGCTCCGGCCGGTCTCAGAGCCAGTCCGCCGATTACCGTCAAGGTGAAGGGCAGCGGAGCTGAAAAGGCCTCGCGAATATCCGACCTATCACAAGGTGGCCGCTTTTATCCAAAGCAATTTGAGGGACATATCGAGATCAGATCTGAGATAGGTCATTGACGGGTGTTAGCTAGCCCCGTCACGATGACAGCACAGATTGTGCTTCAGTTTTTCCCCAACCATTACGAATTTGTTAATTTTAAAATAATGAACATAATGCTATAACCTAAAAGTGTCTTTCCAGCATGTCAGTCTATTATCCTTCTAAGGTTGGTTCCCTCATTGCACTTGGACCACTCAGCATCATGTTGGGCTTCTGGAAATGGTTTCGGGCTGTTTCGGGCTGAAATGGTTCAAAGCTGAATAGGCCAGGCATTTTGCAAAATGCCTGACCCGCCAGGCATTTTGCAAAATGCCTGAGTTTCCACCGTTTTTGTTGACTACAGGCATTGGCCATAAACGTTCCACTGTGCCTGAGCCTAAACACATTCCACGGTCACGAATACCTACAGGGTGTCACGAAATTGTTGCGGGATGTTGTACTTGTGTCCCAAAATTGATTGCAGCGTATAGTTGAGTCAGTGTTCTCCATCACCTCGCTGACAAGCTATCAGCGGCGTGGTCTGTCCCTGCGGCACCTGAAGAAGCTCAAAGACGCCTCTGTAGCCCATCATGCCCCAAACGAGAATCCCCAGTGGATGCTTCACCGTCTCGACGGTGCAGCGCCTCCTGAGATGCTGTTGGCCCAGAACTGGTTGTCGGGGACTGTTAATGTCTTAGAAGAGCTCTAATATCGCCTCATCGCTGAAAAAGTCTGAATGTCTAGTCCTGAATGGTCCAGATTTGGTGGGTCTTGGTGAAATCCAGCTGCATCACTTCTGGCTGACGGTAAGTCAGCGTTGCAGCCTGAGGTTGAGCGGCTTCAGCTTCAGGGTAAAGTCTTCAGATACCGGGGGATGGCCGATTTAGATGCCGAGTGCCAGCTGGATCAGGTGCCCTGGTGCCGGACCCGTTAAAATTACATCCATTCAGCACTCAGGAGGGACATGGAGGGACAACATAACAGACCGTGCCAATCGCGCATCAATTTTGTGACACTGTATACCATACGTCTTGCGTCAATTCCGTCGAGATGGAGTCACCACTGAATGGACTTGAGCCACCGTCTAGTCGTACCTTTCGTATATACGGAGTTGTAGCCGTGTGAATAAAAGCTTCGATGTCCAGTATCTATTCTGCTCCGGTGGGCTACTGTTCAGGCAGAGACGATTGATAATGTAAACGTGTAACAATCAAATTTTTGTAAATTGAAAAAGTATTCTTTTCTGCTCAATATCCACCCATAGTATTTTCAAAAAGCCACCAAGGGCTCTTAGAAACAGTGCAATCATTGTACCGAGCGCATGTTTACCCACGAAACCACGCCCGGTGCTCGGCACCCGACGGACGCTGGGGCTCAGTGACCTGAACTCGGCGGCGCTACCCGGAGAACGCAGTGTCCCCTCACTTGGTGCGCATTGACAGCGCTTAACTTTTGTAATCGGCAGTTACAAATGATGCTTACCCATACATCTTCGCTGGTGTGGATTTGATGTCAGGCATTTTGGAAAATGCCTGGGAAAATAATTTCAGGCAGTTTGCAAAATGCCTGGTGGGTCAGGCAGTTTGCAAACTGCCTAGGCATTTTGCAAAATGCCCGAGTTTTCACTTTGCCTGTAACATATATGTAGAAAACCGATAGGTCCCGCGAGTGCTAGAATTAGATGCTTTTCGTGCAAAAGTCGCATTTTACCTTTCAAATCTGCTTTCATAATGCACTATATACGTACTAAAGGCATGCCTCGGTTGCATGAGCTGTGCCTTGCGATACTGTTCGACCAAATGGAACACGTCAGCACCAAACCAATCACCGTGAGGCGGAAGCCAAGGTCGGACATACGGGCGGGCCGCGTATAAAAGCGTCGGACAGCGGGTGGATATCACACACTCACTAGCCGCGTTTACATAGGGCTAGTTGCCAGATAGTGGAATTCCACTAACGAGACATTTTTTCCACTAACGAGACATTTCAGGCACCTTCAGATAATTCTGACGACCTATCCGGCCAGAAGGACCAAACCGATTGACAAAAATAAATACATCGTGGCGGATGAATACTACCGAGGTATTTCAGGCCTAGACATAGTATAGATGTCGCAACTCGCGGCCTTCCCGGCAGTAAGGGCGAGGTATAGATGACGCTTCTGCAGCAAGTCACTGGAACGTGCGAGTCGTGGAATGGAACGGAAGATACGGAACGGGGGCTTCTTAACGGAAGCTTATTCGTTTTATTTTCATTTAAGAATTGATTTCGTGCGCTAGGGAAAGAACATTGTCTTCTTTTTTCTTACGTCTGCACCCCCCCCCCGTCCCTTCCATCCTTTGGATCAGCCAGTGTGCAGCAAGAGGGTTCATCGGAGAAAAACAACAAAGAGCAATCCTCCCTGAGCCTGTCAGGTCAGAAATAACCTGAGCATAGGCGGCGGAATGGGGAGGGCACCGGGGCACCGTGCCCCCCTTTGATTTTGGCATTTTAACATTAGCCCTATGGGCGCTGCATGGAAAGAATGGGACCAAAAGTCGGCGGTGCCCCCCCCCCCCTTAATTGAAGGTGCTCCGCGGCTACTGAACCTGATGACCGTTCGTTATGCCCTACTGCCCACGCTTCTTAAAATTTCAGTAGTAGTCAGTTATCTGGCCAATGTTTCCGTATAGTGGTTGGCAAACACAACTGAGCCTCGTGAGTGGGATGAGTACTGGACACAGAAGTGGACAATCTGTTGGCAAGGAGCCCGCAAGGATAATATCTCGAAACTCAGGACTACGTATACAAACACTTTAAAAGCATCCAAATCTATACTATAATCGAAAGCCGCATTGTTGTGAACTACCGGCACGTGCGTCCAATCACCATCAAGAACGGAAGTCCGACCTACAGCAAGCACGACAGTCCGATCATAGATGTATTGAAAAATAACTAGCAACTTTAAACATCGCCTTCCTCAGCCACGCTCTACACCGCATCACATAAGAAAACCGCCAATATCGATTACAAAACACACATAAAGGAATTTCGTAGGTAGAGATCAGAGGAATACTTCACCTCCTTTATCTGGCGCGTCAATAGGTATAAAGTAATCTTTGGCGTCTACGCACTAGCAACATCTATAATGCAAACAGCAGTTCAGAAACCATCCACTAAAATTGCAACAAGGCAAGGGTTGGTCAAAATAAATTATAGTCACCGTGATAAATAGCAAACGAAATACAGAACAAGCAAGCACAACAAAGCATTCCACACTCGTTTAGACTGTACCTACAATATGCCTACATAAGACATTGCAGCAGTGTACAAGGGAAACATTCTTTAAAGATGCTAACGTGAGGAGTTTTACAAGTTTGGTGAACATAGTTACGAGTCACTGCACAAGAAATGTCGCAGTCGCCAGCCGGCCCAGGCGAAAGAGTCGACGGAGACGGCGTCAAACAAACCCGAGAGGGGGTAGTTTCATCCGCATCAGCGGAGGCGCTCTCTCTGTTAAGGTCGTCAGTTACCAGCCGCAGCACCCTGCTGGCGATTTGATAGCTGCTCTCATTCTCAGCTGGCTGAGCGCCATGTGCCGGGTCATCCGGCTCCATGATTTCCCCTTTCATTATCAGCTGCTGTTGTAGTTATTGTTGTTGCGTTCCTTTCAGCTGCTGCCGCAGCATAGCCGTACGGTTCTGGATGGTTCTCACGGCGGCAGCCAGGGTCACCAAATCCGTCTCCCCGTAGCCACACCAGACTCGGGAAAATGTACCGAGATGTACCGAGCCAATGTTGCAGCACTCGCGGCATTCATCGGTAGGACTCCGCCCAACCCAATGTCGGCACTGGCAGGAGCCCGACCAGTGGTCCAAACGAAACTGATGAAAATCGACATGCTGATGAGCGGTCCTCCACTGACGCCGGACGGGTGGCGACGGCGCGGCCGGTCCTGGAGCTGGAACAGCAGAATGGACCGGCCGGGACACGCGGCTCATCAGTCCATTCGTTCTGCTACTCCCCGTAGACTCCAGCTCCTTCGCTGCAGGTTCTCGCGTCTGCCGACCGGTCCGTCCACACCCACGCGGCTCGATAGGGGAGGGGAGGGCAGATATCATTACGTCGCTTGAAGCAGTTCAGCTGCCGAGGCTCTTTGTCGCAACGCCGCCAGCGCCACGCATCGCAGCAGCACATACCGTGGAGTGCCAGCCTCTTCGCGGCAGACGCGGCATCGGGCAGCAGGGCACTCCACGTCGTTGAATTGTGGGCATCCGGCCTCGGGAGGCGGCCGATGCAGAGCAGGTACTGGCGGATGTCGATAACGACTGCACGGTCGGCCTCCAGGACGGAGCCAGGACAGCGGTCGACCCATATCGACCGGTACCATCCGTCCGGCCAGCTCCGCTGCCAGGCGCGCGCAGCGTCGCGCGCGCGCCTGCCTTGCAGATAGTGCCCACGTCAATCGGCGCTACCGTTGGGATAGACGGCGGTCGACCCATATCGACCGGTACCATCCGTCCGGCCAGCTCCTCCAACACCGCTCTTAGGGCGAATAGCTCGCCGCGCGTGCTAGAGCAGAGGGCGCCTGCCGCGACACGCACCTCTCGGATGTCGCGGTTCGGGGGGGGGGGGGGTGGCCCCTCCTCCTCCATCTAGCACACCATCGGTGGCGGAGCTGTCTGACCAGATCAAGCTCGCCTCAGACGGGAGCTCCGCCAGACGACTTTCCGCCGCCTTGGCTCGCCAGCCGTCGCGCCCAAACTCGTTTCAGGCCGTGAGTCTATAGCCGGCGCGGTGGCGTGGCTTCGTCATGGTAGCCTTGGGCGGGTTGTCCTCAGAGAACGCATTCGCATTGGCGAGGAGGCGAGCAGCGCCACGAGTCCTGAAAAGACCAAACAATATCAATAGACAATCAAAACTGTAAAAATTGGCATTAACTGCGCAACTGATGTTTGCTTGTTTGTCTATTAGGGTTTACGGGCGCTGCGGTGGTCATTTTGCGCCCATGAAGCTGTTCTGGTGAACCTGCGCACAGTGGCGGCGGAAGGTATTCTAGGATAGGGGTGCAAACGATATTGAAGCGCCCCTTCCCGCTTGGCGCCCCTTACCATATACACGGTTGTTACGAGCGAGCGAGCGCAGCGAGCAAAGCGAAGTCTTTTCAATATAAGGGAAAAATCTCAGTATGAGCGGCCCGGCCCGGCCCGGCCTGTAACGCTTTTGAGAGGCTTTTATCTCCGCAACCGCTGGACCGATTGGCCTGCGGTCTTTTTTGCTGGGTAGCCCCATCCCTTCTACCCCGTAATTGACTACTTTTGATACATCTCAGCGACCGTCGTGGCACGTGCCACGTGAAAAGTCAAGGGTGTTCAAGCTGTTTTGCAAAAGTAGTGATTTTGAGAGGCCCATCCATATCTCAGCAGCCGCTTGGGCGATTGTCTTGCGGTAATTTTTGTAGGGTAGCTGCATCCCTTCTACCAAAGGTCGGATACTCTTGATCTACGTGAGTGACCCCCACTGCACGTGCAAAATACAAAAAGAAGAGGTGCCAAATTTGTTCCCATTTCAATAACTCGGTAATTACTGGGGCGATTTCGCTGAAACTTGGCATACAGGTAGGCACCCACCAGGCAATACATTCCCATGTGTTGCGGTTAGGGTGCTACTGCACGTGCGCACGTGCAGGGGGCGCTCCCAGATCTCGAGAACGGCTGGGCCGATTGCGCTCGAATTTGGTACACGGTTGGGGACTAGTTAGTAGGGTGCCGTGCACAAGTCAGTTTGGAACCAGTTTGCACGTGCGCACGTGCAGAATGCCGCTTCCAGATCTCAGGAACGGCTGGGCCGATTGCGTTCAAATTTAGCACACCGCTAGCGACCGGTTAGAAGGGTGCTTTGCACAAGCCCGTTGGAAGTACCTTTTCGCCCTTCCGCACGTGCAGGGCTCACTATCTCGCTCGCTCGTTTTTCGCCCAAAAGGCGTTTTACTGGTAGTAACACAAACAGTGAAGAGTCGTTTAACCCTATTAGTGGCAGGCTCCTGGCTACCCCATATTAGTGGCAGGGGGGGGGGGCTGTTTACGACCCCCCCCTTGATATCTCGAGATCTAACCGGCCGATTTTCAAAATTCAAACGGCATTCGATTTGGCTCAACGAGATCTACATTTCTAAAAAAATAAAATTAAAAAATGTCAAGAGGGGGGTAAAAACGGGCAAATTGCAGATACATTTTAGACTGTTTATCACGGCCAGGTTTCTGAACCAATCTTAACGCAACTTTTACCGATCGATAGAGAATGAACCAGGAATTCACATGGATCCTAAAAATATGCATTTTCAAAAATCATAGGCGGATACAGATAATTGAGATTGGGGGTACACAAAAAGTATAGTAAATAAGGTTTTTGTTGGTACTGTTTCTAAAAAGGGTGGCAATGGTCTTGTTATGTTACAATTGTCTTATGAGAGAACGACTAAAATTGTATTGGTCATGCATAGGCGGTGTCAGGGCACCTATGTTGGGAGGTAAAAAATAACCCCCCTTTTTGGACGCCTGGATCCGCCTATTATAGCAAAAACGTGTCAAAAGAGGATGCACAATAACTTTGTATATGTTATCACATGATACCTTTCATTCACTGTTCGTAAAACTGGTGCAGCATCGTGATCTTCGCCCAAATGACTCGCTTCACGAATAGGACCCCCCAATTCCCAGTGCTCTGGAGCCGCCCCTGGTAAAGTTATGAACTTGAAATTTTCAGGGAATGTGCCCAATTTAGTTTTAGGAAAAGTCAGAAAATTTCAGCATCGTAGCTTCAGCGGTTTCGGAGATATTCCCGAAAAACCTGAGGGGTGGATAAAAACAACCCCCCTGCCACTAATAGGGTTAATACGCCCTAGCACTAGGGGTGTAACCGCCCATACGGACAGTGCAATTTTACAGGCCCCAATCTCGGACCTCCCTTAACATTCATATGTTGTAAACGGCAAACCGCCCCCGATAAATGTTACACAAACTAATTTCCTCTCGCATATCGGCCATCAGGCGCCCCTTTTTGTCGCATGGAGCCTGCAACGCTATAAGCCCTCATATGTTCGTGTTGGCGTTCGGAGGCTGTTTTTAATTCAGTCACCTCTATTGCTACGGAAGTGCGCCACATTTGTATGCTATTCCGTTTGTAATGCGCATCGGGCCGAGAGCCAAACTAGATCCGTTTGACGTCACTGATACGAATTTGCTCATGTAGTCGGTGCACTGAATGCGTTCTTGGGGAGCTGATGCGAATTAGCGTAGTGCGTATTTGGAACGGATCGCTCATGTAACCGAGGCACACGATTCGGGCCGTATTTCACAAGAACTATTCTTTGCTGACTGGAAGCGTCAAAATGCAAAATACTAAGCATTTTTTTTGTTATTGGCTGCCTCGTAGAAAATAGCAAAAAAATGTTGGTATTTTGGTTTAGTCTTTGCATGTGAAATAAAATGAATGAAATATTTTGATACATAATTTGTTCTGACCACCCTGCTGTCGCTGCATGGCGAATCAGTGCCCACTGACTTAAGTGCCCACTGACCACTGACGTCTCCATAAATGTTTCTTTTTCGTCCCACACACAGGCGCCCCTCTTTCGCATGCAGGCGCCCCTCTTCCGCGTGGCGCGCTTCTCGAGTGGCTGCGCCCTCCTAGCCTTTATCGCCTGGCAAGATTATATTCGACAGGGTCGGCAGCATCTGCCTTTGTTTCAGATAAGGATGCCCTCCACTCTTCAGCATATCAAAAGATACTTTTTCCACGTCATTGCCACCCTCTTCGTGTCACAAGTGCCTTTATCAGTTGCGGTGTCGCACTGCTCAGCTTTATGGCTGCCGCACCTCTTAACTTCCTGCCTCCTCTACAGATTTTCGAGGCGCCCCTTTCCAAAGCTTCAGGGTGCAGCTGCCCCCCTTGCCCCCCTGCTTCCGCCGCCACTGCCTGCGCAACTGAGCAGTGATCATGCTATAACTTATGTTTGGCGTAGTACCAGGGTTCCACCTAAAATTTCGGCGCACGTCAGGTGTAACGTCACATGCGACAAATTCAGCGCATGTCAGTTGGGCAAACTAAGGCTGATGGAATAATATAAAACGAGGGCACCAAAAATTGATCCTAAATGACCATACTTGGACATTAATGCAGACCCTCTCTGTATCACCAATTGTCAGAAAACAAGCGGTTTCAAGGAGCGTTAGAGAGTCATGAAGCCAGGATAAAACACAGTGCTATTTTCTAAAAACAGTTTTTACATGATAGAGTTAGGCAACTCTATCTCTCTCTCTCCGTTTACCATTCGCAAGGCCAAAAAGGCCAATTGGTTTTGAAAGACATTGGATTACAAGCTGAGCATTTTTTACTTTATCATAAAATGTTAAACCTGCGTGCAGATAAAGTCTGAACGGTGGTTTGTAGGCTGATAGGTTGGAGGTTGAAGGTTAGTAGGGAAGGTAAGGTCAGGATAATTTCTGCTTTTTATTTTCATTGGACTTCAGTCTTCATCAACACACGCATCAAAAATATCATCTATTTGAGCATCTTCAAGCCTCAATATACAAGTTGTACCACAAAAAAATTAAAAATTGATGTCATGCCAACATATGGTCATGATTTTTACCACCAGAATTGAATCAAATGCCTATTGATGCTTTACCTAATATTTTGAAGCCTGAAATCTGATTAACCAAACATTTTTTTCTTGTGTTGGCAGTCTAAAATTTGGCTGGCTTGAGCGCGATGCTATTGCTCTAGCAGAATCTCAAACGGATGTCTACCAAGTGCCACTCCCAAGAAAGTTTTTCAAGATTCTAAAACCACAAACTTTGTTGCTGCCTGATCGTGTGATGGTAAATCAAATGATAGCACTCCGTCTGAGGCCAGTTTTACAAACAGAAAATAGCCACCTGCCAGATTATTTTGCCTAAAGGCTAATTCACATATGGAGTGTAGGTAAATGGTGAAGCCCTCACTGCTTACATGCCTATCGCGTTTACCCTCTGTATGTTGTACCTACGTGGAATGGATATATGAGGAGAAAAATTCCAGGCAGCTATTTTTGTTGGTAAATCGGGTAAAGTAAAACTGGCCTCTGAACGAAAATTTGGACTGAGTGAGATGTCGGCTCTTTGGTGGTTTGGATAGGAGTTGATGATTTTAATTGAAAGATTAAAAGGAAAGGGTTTCAAGACAACCGGCATGACAAACCAACACCTTACCTGCAGTTCAAGTTTGTCGATTTCTTCATCAAAATCTAGGGCCTGTTCCAGCGCCTCCAGTAGAAATTCTTGACTGGAGGCTCTACCAGAGGTTTTACTGGAGGCGCTGGAACGCAATCTGGAGATTTCTGGAGGTTGGCGTCATAGATACCAAAAGAATGACAATTGTTCTCTCTTGATACGCAAAATTTGTTTTCAATTTTATTAAAAAAGATTAACAAAATTATAGCAATGTAATTTTCTTTACATTCAAGTTGTAAAACTCTCAGTCAAAAGTTCTTTGTTTACATTCGTGATTGTCACATGTGTGCCATAATTGTAGACCAGAGCCTCCAGAGAAATTTGGACCTCCCAACTCTCTGGAGGCTACTGGAGGTTTCTGGAGCTTTGGGGAGAGCTTTCTGGAGCTTTCTGGAGGCGCTGGAACGCTCTCTGGAGGATTCTAGAGCTTTCTGGAGGTTTCTGGAGGTTTCTGGAGGCGCTGGAACAGGCCCCTAGTCTTCGTCTAGTCCACAAATCAAGATAAAATTACTGGATAGGTACAACTTCTTCTTCTTCTTCTTCTTCTGCACCTCACCTGCCACCCCCTACACTTCTACCTTATTCTGATAAATATCTTTACATAATTTTCACAAGAATGCCACTCAACGGGGTAGATCTAAAAGAGTGCAGGGCTTAAGTTTTGAGCTACAGAGTTCTCAGTGATTTTGAGACACCCAATATGTCTTTGGCACGCCGTATTTGTCTCTCACCGCTTGCGAATTCGGCGATATGATTGGTCGAAGGCCGAGGCTATGGGTCCAAGAAAAGGCCAAGATTCCTGCCAAGATTCTTACAGATAGCCAAGGCCGATGACTGACGTGACTGACGGCATGTTACTGCCCTTGGCATATTCCCAATGCACTGCTCCGTCATATCGGCAGTGATGTCAACAGTCATATTGGAAGTAATATGGTAGCTATACGCAAAAACCATTTGGTGTATGGCTACCATACTTTTCCGATAACGAGACATTCTAGATCAATCTCTCTACTGTTGGCGACATCTGCTGAGAAATCCCAAGACCGAACGCAAGCACATAAAAGTAATGCACTCTAAGGATGCGTTCGAAATCTGGGAAGTGACGGATTTCATTCCTCAATGCGTGTCCCAGCGTTCCCCATGCTGTTTGTTCCGCCATCTATTGCCATGTTTCGCATTCGCACTTCATGAATTCACCACCCCGCCAAGTAGGTTGGTATCAAGTTGGTATAGGTGTCGCATTGCTCTGGTCGATTAGGCTGAGCCAGCTGTCTGGAGAGTGGAGCCGATCAAAAAAAAACGCAGAAATTCAAAACACCGACTCCAAAGCAATGGCAATTGGCAGCATGCATATCATTAGAGCGTAATTCTGTCGTGATTGCGTCAGAAGCAAACATAATGGCAAGAGTTTCTTGTGTGTCGGTAGGCGCGTGTGGAGTCGCTGGACCGACCGGGGACGTACCCAAGGGGGGACGGACGGGGTGCGCCTCCCCCCTAGGGGTTTTCAGGGCCCATGCTGGCAGAAGGCCAACGTTGGCCAAAATCACGTCGGAGACGAACGAAATTCATGGGAATCCCCCAAAAAATCACGTCAGGACTCAGGACAATCAAGGCTCTCCGACTCGCCTGCCACCTAGGGCCCTTCAATTTACTGCGTGGGGCCTCCTGTGAATAACCGCTAGTGTCTGCGTCTGACCACTAGGACCCTGGACCCCTCTGACTCCTCGGGTAGAGGGCCCTCTGTAGGTAGGAGGCTCTCTCTACGGGATTCCTCCGCTCCCCCCCCCCTCGGCCAAATTCTAGGTTATACGTGCCTGCGCTAAGCCGGGGTCGGAGAGAGGAGTTGACGACCGAATGACAAGGAGTACTCGTCCTGAAAGTAAACATTTGGAATATAAACAATCCAAAGCTGTTCAGTATTTATATCATTCGAGAGCAGTGCCTTCAATTTGGATACACTTAGCATTCATTTCCCACACCCGTGTACACTCCACGAAGGCTTCTCCGCTGCGGACTCCCGCTTCCGCCGATGCGTCAGTTCTGTTATGGTCGGTAGTGGCGATTAACACGTCGATATCCTTGGAGCGACACAGGACGACCGAAACACGATGGCGGCGACCATGGAACTGTTTATTTTTTATGTGCTTCCATATGACCGGGGGGTGAGACCAATTGAAGGGAAAGGAAAACGTGCCCCATCACAACACCCCCCCCCCCTCAAGACGCATGCGTCGGTACAAGATACGCATTGCGTCTAACACATAAACAAAAATGTACACCACACACGGTGTGGACGCACGAACTCAGTCGTACGTCTGGTCCGCCCAGCGCACGGTCAGTCGGGCCGGACGGCGACGGCGGCGCGTCCCACGGCGCACTGAGCTGGGGTCGTCGGCGCTGTTCCGCAGCACCGGTGGTGCCGGCTGTCCGCCCGCCGGCGCAGCGGCGGCGGTCTCCTCCGTGCCGTCGGGTGCCGAGCTCGGAGCGAGCTGCTGCCGGCGCCCGGGTGCAGGTGTGGCGGCGCCCTCCGAGATGAGAGATCTCTGGGGTCGCAGATAGCGCTGGTTCCGCCAGTAGACTCGGCCACTGGGCAGCCGGACCAGGTAGTCGCGCCGCTGTCCGACCGCCGTGATGACGCCGACGCGGTCCCACAGCCCCGACCGCGGGTCTTGGATGAGCACACGCTGACCCATGGTGAGCGCGCTGTGCTGGCGGGCTGTCGTGTCGTACCGCTCGGCTGTTTCCTGTTGCTGCGCGGCGGCCCTGGCGTCACAGTCGTCCGCCGCCCGCTGCCAGCAGTCGGCGAAGGCCCGGTGGTGCGCCGGCACCGCCGATCTCAGCGGGTGGCCGAACAGGACCTGAGCCGGAGAACGGCCGTCGGCGCGCGGCGTGTTGCGCAGCTCCAGCAGCCCCTGCGCGTAGGCGTCCGTGTCGAGCTCGCCGCTGCTGGTCGCCTTCTGGATGAGCCGTTTGGCGGCCTTGACCGCCGATCGGCGTGCCCATTAGACTGAGGGTAGTGCGGTGTAGAGATCTGGTGCTCCACTCCCCAGCGGCGCAGAAACTCTCGGGTGAGCCGGGCGGTGAACTGGTGTCCACCGTCTGTCCGGAGGGTGGTGGGCACGCCGGTGGCCGCGAATATCTGGCGCAGGCTGCAGACCAGGTCTCTGGCAGTCGCCTCGCCGGCCACGTGCGACACAAACGGCCACCCGGACAGCCGGTCCGCGTATACCAGGAACGTGCGGCCGGCCCAGGCGAAGTAGTCAGCGGAGACAGCCTCAAACACTCGTGATGGTGTCTTTTCCGGCATCAGCGGCTCCTTCTGCTGACTGGGCAGGTACTGCTGGCAGGCCGGGCACGCTCCGACATGGTTCGCAATGTCACTGTCCAGGAACGGCCAGTAGACTACCTGCCGCGCGCGGCGTTTGGTGCGCTCGACGCCCTGGTGACTGGCGTGCAGGCGCTCGAGCGTGGCGCGCCGCAGACTGGGCGGTATCACGAGCCGCTGGCCGCACACCACCAGGCCGTCGTCCACGGCCAGCCGGTCCCGAACTCCCCAGTACGGTCGGAGGCGCGGGTCCAGCTGTGACCGGTGCTCTGGAAACCCGTTCAGGATCAGGTCAGTGAGTGCGATGAGCTCCGGATCGGCGGCGGCGGCGGCGCGCACCTCTGTCAGCGCCGCGTCTTTGAACGGGCTGGGACCGTCGTCCGCCCCGTCGGTGGCCAGCCGTGAGAGCACGCTGGCGAGCTGATGGCTGGCGTCCCTCTCGGCTTCCTCGTCCTCAGGCGCCGGGTCATCCACCGGCGCGCGCGACAGCGCGTCCGGGATGGCGTGCAGCTTGCCTTGCCGCCAGATGGCGAGCAGGTTGAACGGCGCCAGCCGTTCTCGTAGCCGCTGGAGCCGCGGATTTTCGATCTCCACAAGGCTCTTACTGTTGAGGATCGGGATGAGCGGCCGGTGATCGGTCAGGACTTCAAACCGCTGCATCCCGCCGAGATAGATGCTGCATTTCTTGCAGGCCCAGGCCAGGGCCAGCAGCTCCAACTCGATCACGGCGTACCGCGACTCGGCGTCCGATAGGAAGCGTGAGCCGCACTGGATCAGTCGCTACCGGCCTGCGGCGTCTTGCTGCAGCAGGCAGTAGCCCAGGCCGCCGGAGCGAGCGGCGTCAGTCTCAAGGACTGTGCGGCGGCGAGGGTCGAAGAAGTCGAGCACGGGAGGCGACGTGAGTGCCATCTTCACCGCGCTGAACGCCTGCTCGTGCGCTGGCGTCCACAGCCACGCGTTCCGCGGCCGCAGCAGCTGTCTCAGCGGCTAGGCGGCGGTGGCGACCTCTGGGGAGAAGGCGCCGAGCTGGGTCACCAGGCCGAGGAACGACCGTAGGTCGGTGATGTTGCCCGGCCTGGGGAAGGCCTGGATGGCACGGACTTTCTTGCCGTCGGCGGTATAGCCAGCCGAATTGATGCGAAAGCCGCAGAATTCGACCTCGTCTTCCGCGAACTGACATTTGTCCGGGTTGAGTGTGATACCGTGCTGGTCACACCTTAGCAGAATCTGCCGCACGTGCTGCAGGTGGGCGGCGTAGTCAGCGTCATAGGCCAGGACGTCGTCCACGACCTTACACGTGCGCGGGATGTCGCCGAGCGCGGCGTCACCGCGCTGGTTGTACACGTCGCCAGAGCTGACGATTCCCATTGGAGCCCTCAGGTACCGGTAGCGGCCCCACGGCGTGATAAAACACGTCAGGTCTCGTCTCTGTCTTCTGGCCGGATGGGGACCTGGTGGTACCCCGCCTTGCTGTCCAGCTTGGTGAAGTACGCAGCGCCGGGTGAGACGAAGGCGAGTGCGTCTTGAGGCGAGCGGACCGGGTACGTCGGTCGCTTCACGAACCGGTTCAGTTTCGTGAAGTCCACGGTCAGCCGACAGCCGGACACTGTGCCGTCTGACGACCCCTTGGCCACAGGAACGATCGGATGACACCAGTCTGTGGGGTGCTCCACCGGCTCGATGATGTCCTTTT